AGTTTTGGACCATAAGGAATGTATAGCTTACTAACATTTGGGAATGCACATTGATTACATTTATTGACCAGACCCCATCTTTTTGTTCACACAAAGATATTTCTGCCTTCTGTACTAAGTTCAAGCCAGTGAAATTCAAATCTTTACGTAAGGAACCAGCCTGTTTCTGATCATGTCTAGCCTGTCTCACCACCACAATCCAGCCTTTCCCACAGACTCACCTGTGGAACTCACAATTCTTCAGTAGCATTTCCTGAGGCGATGGCAAACGTTATGCACCGACTTAAATGAGTCCGACCACTTGGTAGACGCAAAGAGGACGAAAGCAGACAGTAAAGGGCATAGTCTGAGCTTTAGAATTTGTCTTCTACTACGATTTGTTTCACATGCAGATAGAACCTGCGCCCTCTCTGCTGAGAACCCCCTTTTAAATCTCCTAACTATCCCCCACATCTATATTGGGAACACCATGTCTCCATGTGGTCTAACTCTGCACACTGAATTTACAGCCCTTAGAAAAGTCAGCTTCTAACAGCTGATATTTCCTACCTGGAACCAAGCAAAGCTGGCATTCGGTTGTAGTCATGAGACTTTTTTAATGTACAGGAACAGCAGATGTACGTATTCCAGTGAAGAGTTCTACAGAATCCCAGCATGGTTGGGGTTGGAAGGGACCTCTGGGGATCGTCTGGTCCAACCCCCCTGCCGAAGCAGGGTCACCCAGAGCAGGCTGCACAGGACCACGTCTAGGCGGGTCTGGAATATCTCCAGAGGGAGACTCCAGTTTTATTTAGTTTTAAAATACAAAATGTTTATATCTGCGCTATGAAAACATTATTATAAACAAAGCAGGTGTGAAGGGGGGAGAAAAACCTTTGCAGTAGTGCTCGAACAAATAACTGCATATGACCTAAAGAAGGCTTATCTGCTTCTTCAGGCGTGTAAAGAATTTAGTACAATAGAACTGTTAGAGATTACTCTTACTTATGGAGTAAAAAATAGCCTAGTCATAATTGAGGTCAGATCATGTTTTCATGAACTAATGACCCCTTGATAACAACTCGAAATTGGTGCAAAGTGATTTACCAAAAAATGCACTTTACATCATTTATGAAGTTCTGCAATGACTTGTCTTACTTTTGTATAACTAGATTAAATACACGAGTTTGGGTTTTTTCCTCATCTGTGTTTGAAAGATTGCATATATTTGGTTTTGGACAGGATTTAGAGTAGTATTGTTCTGTTTTTTTGTATTTCAAAGACTCTCCAGATGTACGGAATTCTGTTTCCTGTTTTACAATTGTGTGGACACTTTTGGCTTCTTTGGATTCCTTCATTTCTCTTGGTCAAACTTCAGACTTGCACCTCAGAAAGCACGGCTGAGTCTCACTCGTGCTTTGTCACTGACTCCTGCTTCCTGCACACTTAGCTGCCAATCGCTGTCGCTTGCACCAAACTGCTGCCTGGAAACCAGCTGTGGGTCCCTGCTCTGCGTACGCCAGCACCACTCCAGCCGTGGCCGAGTGATGATGGTGTTGAAGCAGTGATGCAGAAGAGCAGGGTTTACTCCCCAAGTCTCTACTCATGCTGCCTGTGGATAAGGACTTTTTTCTTCACAGGTTTCTCTATAAAGCCAGGTGATGGACAGCATTTATGCAGAGAGCTGAAGGGCTTTGATTGCTTACTAATTAGAGGAAAATCCTGTAAGGATGACTTCTATAAAGAAGGCAGATGAGGAAGGCTCTTCTTGTCATGAACTAGAAGGGAAACAAGAATGTAATGAACTAAGCACAAAGTCACCTCTGGATTTTGCTTGCATACGTGTAAGAGAAATCACAGGCTGCATCAAAGTACCCAAACACCGGATGCTACACTGTGTCACAAGAGCGTTGAGGACTCCATTCTTCACATTCCTGGGGTCTTTCCCAGTCTTGCTTTAGCTTCTGGCGAGGACTATCATTTGAACACAGTAGTGGATGATCTCGGGACTGATCTAGTGTGCCACTGTACAGCTTCCATATCTTTAAAGTGCTGGTTTTTTATTTGGTTTAGAAATTATGAAAAAGTAATGTAAGGGGCGGAGAAAAACCCACATCAATAATAGCAAAGACAAATATGTAATTGAGGTTTCTAATGTACTATGCTAGAACTGTGTAATTGTATTCTTAGTTCTTCTATTTCTTGCACTTCTGATGACACAGAACACGCTAAAGATGAATTTAAGCTACACTCCATCCCTTTGAGGGGTTTGTGGGCGACCAGGATACATAGAAAGTTAGGGCAATGTTGAATAATGTATTAGCAGAGTGCAACAGCTCAAGGTAACAGCCCGTCTTCTCCCTCGCACTGTCCTGTTTTACACACACAAATTCCCATCTTGCAGCAACTTTAGCTTCTGCTCTTCCTATTGCACTGCAGTCAAAATTACTAAAAGAAACCCATATCCCCTAGTTGCCTTTAAACTTGTATTAGAGAAATACATATTATTTATATTTTCTACAGAAATATATATGTATATATGCATACATAATTATACACGTATATAAAAAACCCCTTTTCTGTTTATCTGCTTTTTTTCACTGTATTGCTTGTTTGACCATAACCAGGATTGTTAAGCACTGACATTAGTTGTAAGTAATTACATTTATTCTAAGACGTAACTTGACATTATTAACATTACTATTGATTACACCCATGTCTCTACAAAGCATTTAACAGGAAAAATACATATTCCCTTCCTACCATTCAAACAGATGTGGAGAACCAACCCCTCTCTAGCTTTTTCACACAAAAAGCTCGTTTGAAAAAAGATAAACAGTCTTTGTGGTCATGTTGAAATAAGCTTTTAAATACCAAGAGCTGCTAGTACATTTTTTAAGGTGCTGATGTAGCTTCCTAATCGGGAGGTTACCACATTCATACGCTGAAATACTACACTCCCAAGAAATAATGACTATTTAGTGACTCTCTGCATCTGCTGTAAAATTCACATTTAGATTTCTTTTAAACAAAGACCAGATACAAAATTTAGCTTCTTCAGTGTCACTTGTTTTTCTATAGCTTTTAAAAATTTTCATTGTGTGCATACACTAGTTCCAAAGGTATGCTGAAAACTCTTATAGATATTAATGTACTCAAAATAGAAAATTAGTCAGTGAAGCAAGAACGAGTATAGTTATATGGAAAAATAACCTCTGGGTCCCTGTAGCACAATTTGGTTTTTTTCAAAATAAGATGTATTTACAAATTATAAAATACTTGCCCAGTGTCCATATTTTAATTTTCTTAAAAAATAGAATAAAAAGGCTAAAAATGGGAAAAATTGTCAGAATTTTTGCTTCAAAGCAAAATAAAGCAAGAATTCAGTGCACTTCCAAATACACCCAAGCGTGCCGGCCTGCAGCCAGTCAGGAAAGGCAAACTGCAAACATGACATCTCTGTGCAAACAATAGTTATTGCTGACTCGAGTTTACGTAAATTGTCCCCATCTCAGCTCCTCACAGTTAAAGAACAGGGAGTACCAAAGGCGATCTCACACGTTCGATCCAGCTGCTAGTAAAAGCTATAAACTCCTCTTGAAGCAGGAGGAGGAAAACAGCTGGAGCTAGGTCACTGGAGAGATAAAGTTGTTACAGTGCCAATAAAGCAGCTGACAACTGACAGGAGTCAATTAGTCCCCAAATATTTCCTGACAGTGACTAAGATGTTTATTTAGACAAAGCAAAAGACCCTGAATGTCCTGAATCAATGCAGCATTTCATGTTTCTGTTAAAATTAATTTATTTTGAATGCAGTAAAATTAATTTCAAGATAGGAGTCCTTAAGTTTTATTTGGCTGCACGTAAAAGTTCTTTGTCTGCCTTTGACTCCCACCAGTGTCCATTACACCTGCAACAAAGTTGGCTTGGGTTTGATTTGAGTAGGCATCTCTTTCCTAATTACATTCTTAAGAAAGATTATGGAGATGAAGAGTGAATATAGAATAAAATAATAGATGACTACGAAATACGAGAAAGACATCCTGCAACTGTTTGAGAGTGACAAATAAATTAAAATATTATTACCTTTAAACCCTGAATATGCTGACAGTACTTTGCCTCTGGAAAAAAGTTCTAGGGAGGCTGCTACAGGCTGTTCAGTCGATTCAGCTGATAAAAGGGAGCTTGCTCCCTAACCAGCTATCTAGACTTGCTTCCAGAAGCTTCCCTGCAGCTGGAGGCTTGCATTTAGCTTGACCAGTAGCTAAATCTTTTTGTCTATTCAGTTTTAGACCTTGAAAACTCCCTGACACCTCAGTCCTGCATTTCTAGATCCTGCACAGAAATTGCTTGTTATTAATCTGGTTGTACCTCCACGGTCACTCTCAGCAAAAAAAGTTACAGCTTCACAACTAACCAGCTAAAGCATGTAAACAATAGTTTCTATTTCCTTTTTTCTTTTATCTTGTCCTTTGTAAATATTACCTCAAATTAAAGGAGATTGAAATGGAATTAAAGAACATCAGAATTCATCATTCATCTTCTCCGTGAAAGGGTTATGAAAACCTGACGCGACAGCAGTTCCCGTTCGCAGGATTTCTCAGCGCTGTCTTGGGCCCATTTCAAGTGCTGCAGATCAGTGCAGCTCCTAACCTTCCAGTGAAACCAGGCCAAGTTACACCTGTTCAGGATCAGGCTTATTCTAGCAATCCTTATTGTATTTTAAAATAATAATCCTGTTATTGATGGTTTAGACCATGTAAACATTCAATTGTTTGTAACAGAATTAGAACAAATTCACAGTCTTTGACAATTAAGCAAAATAATTTAGCAAGAACTTTTATAGTAGAATCAAAGTAAGAAATATTAAGAAAACATTGTTAGAACCCTGCGCAGTTTCCATCTTTCTGATTTGTCCAGAGTTCATTTCCAGGTGATGTCCATTATAAATATTCCCTGTTTGAAAATGGAGAGCACCTGTGGATAGACAAACCCTCTGCAGTCCCTTCAACCCCAGAGGCCCTTCAGTGATTTCCTCGAAATCTTGAGCTGTTCTTCAGTTGGACTGATGGTCATTTCGCAGATGCATTGCAGTAGGTTCGAAAAACTGGAAGCAAAGTTGGGAGAGAAGGTTAAGCTATGTGTTGCTAACATCAAAGTTTACAAAACCAGCTGGCTCAGCAGACTTAAAATAGAACTGCATTGCAGGGGAGAGTCCTCTTAGAATTGGATGGTCATTACCTGCATCATCAAAGCTCAACTGTAAGTATGTGTGGCAATGACTGTTTCCTCCTGAACTTTACTTTTCCAGTGTTTAAACTGAACCAGGATGTAACAATACGTACTGCAAGCTTTATGAATATTAGCACACTGATACTAAACACTTCTGCAGTTCTTATTTCCTTCTTTGTTCTTGTTTCTTCCCACTTGACCCGTGCATCATTAGCATCTCATCTTCTCCTCCAACGTGTCATGCGGCACTTTTTCTGCCATCATAGAATGTTCTCTGCGGCCAAACAGTATCCAGGACTCGGTGCTTCTAGCACATTCAGTGACTTTGTACCTCCCTCTGCACCCAGACACAAAAGCTGGCCTCCACTTGTTTTTCTGCAGTTTATCATCAAAACTGTAACACCATATCCTTATTTAGTTTGAGCACTCCCTCATTCCGTGTTTCACTACGTTAAAAACTGTGATATAATGTTACACATAAAAACTGAGAGAGGTTGCCTTAGAAAGAAGATGTGTAAGAGAACGGCATACGCATTGTGAATGACACGGCAAAGGCAGACTAAGGACTTGTACTTTTCTCATTAAAAGGGCACTATTTGCATTCTAAATAAAGCAAATTTGAAAATAAACTAAGCATTCATTTCACCTACCAACGTCACTGTCAGAAATTAGTATTCAGCTCAAGGACTTAGCGAGATTTAAAACCAGAAACAAAGCCAAAAAGTGCTGTATGACTTTTTCTCATTTGTCAGATAGGTTTGTTTGCCCTTCAAGAACTTCTCTGTTTGGCTAATCTAGACAAATGTGCGTTGTTTGTGACTGGACAGTGCCTTTGGGGGTGGCAGATAGCACTGTGCTCTGCGGCAGAGCCCGCACCGTAGAAACGTGCCTGTTCCATTTTGCAGGTATGAATCCAGCGGATGTCATGTCTTCACACCTTCCATCGAAATTAATTGCAAACTGACCTTACGCAGTGGGGGAGTAAGTCCTCTCAGAGTAATTTTAGTGCTTTACTTTTTCCATATTGTAAATGGCTCAGCAATATTGCTATAGTTAAGCAACTGTCAGCGTTACAGTTATAAAAACTTCTGAGAGAAAGGTGGGGTTATCATACAAGTATCAGCATTTTCTGTGGTCTGAAAACTGGCACCTGCTATTTCAACTATTTTTTTCACCTACGTATTTTCAAGTACCTCCTTTTTTCCTACTTTTGTGTTGCCCTTTGGTTGTATCAGGTTCTAACAACATGCTGTCTAGCCATGCTGCTCTCTAGCAGGCAGAGAAATCCATGAGCTTCATTTCTCTACCTGTACCAGTATAATTGTTGTCCTGCAACACTACTGCTACTCCATAACGCAAACCAGTTCACACTGAAGTATCTTTTATGTATCAAGTTGCGTGGTGGATGACTGCTACTGAATGTTTTCCCACTTGTTCCACTGGAGAATAGAACCTTTTATTTAACGATTAAGGCCAGAAGATAACTTCATCCCCATCCATATCTAAAAAGCATTCAGCTGAAGCACTTCATTTCACTTTGGATTTTTTTTCATATTTTTTTTCATTTTCCCATTCAGACAATGCTGCTATTTTGCTTAAAAATGTAGCAAAAGATTATTTTTGCAAAGAAAGTTTGCTACTAAACTACCTGGATTGCTGACCTGAACTTGATTCCATATAAACAGAAGTACAAATACAGAGTTCAGTCTAAGATGCTCTTGCTATCTGCCCGGTCCTGGCTGGTCTGAAAAATAATATTCAAATGTTTAAAGGCCTACATTTTATTAGAAACACCTTCTTCATTGTAAAAACTTCCAAATCCTAAACTTTCTGTCTAATTAACATACTCTTAGTTTACATGTGTACTAAGAGAAAGGGTGATTAACCTGAAGTCTTCCAGAAAGAAAATGATTAAATGGCGGGGGAAGAAAAAGGTATTCCAAGGAGCACTTTGAAAAGTACTCTGGCCCCAAGGTTCTTACAGGTATCATCAGATACAATGCACAAGAATGACTTCTTCACTTCTGTACCATATGGCTGTAAGCAAACTGCTTGGCAGTGCACAGAAATACAACCAAACAGCTTAGGAGTGAGCTCCTCATTTCATGCAGCTCTGTGTTGTTACATTAACAAGGCTGCTCACTCCAGCTGATGCTCTGAGTCCAGAACTTGCAGTAAAAAAACGATTCTTGCGCTTCCTTCCAAGTCCAAGGAAGAGTCTGGCATAATGATATGAGCTGAAAATTACTTTTGATTCCAGTTCTAATAGCCTGCTTTTACAAACAGATGCGTGAAATGCTTCTTCATTGATTCCACATGCACCGTCCACAGACAGTAGGTAGCCGTTCGGTTTAGGAATCTCCACAATAAGACACTTATTAATTATTAATAAGAGACGTTCTGCACTCCAAACGACACCAATCAAAATCCTAGGAAGCTGCACTACAGGAACTTGTGCGCTGCAAATTTGGCTAGTTCAATGAACTCCACATTAGATTTTTTTTCATTTTCTTTAAACAAAAGCCAAATGAACTTACAGAAGTAACTCAAAAGAGAAAAGCTAATATACTTGAAATACCGTACAAAATGCACTTTGTAATGAAATTAAATATCTTAACTGAGTAATACTGCGCTAATATTTGATCTTTGGGGCTTGAGCCTGTGACTGAGCTGAACTGGCGTTGAAGCATGCCATGCTTTGCTCAGCTAACTTTTGTATCTCCTCTGCTTCAGTGGAAAGGCTTACTTATTTTTAATATAATTTTAAAGCAAAACCAGTCCTAGTTTTCCTTGAAAGCAATAACTGGTAAAGTGAGACAACCTATTGTATTAGAAACCTAGTAACGTATATCACAGTCCTCCTTAGTTACAACTGAGTACACAAAGGGGAAAATGCAATTTATGAAGAGGAGCTTGATCAACATTTTACATAATTGTTTACATTCTTCATCATTTGAAACACCCCAGCTGTCAATATTGTTTTGTTTTCTAAATCTTGCTGCTGGATTTCTGTCACTCGGTAGGGCTACTACAGAACATAATTTCTGAGTTTGTGGGCAGGTTTGTGAGGTTGCAAACATGGCATTTAAAAATATTTATAGTCAGCACTATGTCCTAGGCTTTAGAAGTATTTTAAAAGCCTAGTTCTGATATAACTATTAATATACAAGGTTCAGTGTAAATATTTCATCACTACCAAGGGAAATGACAACTATGCTCCAAATACTTCTAGATCCAAAATGTGAACAGTTGAATGAAATCATCGGAGTTATGGCAAGCCACACGAGCTGAGGAACTGGCCTCTAAACAGAAGCTGCAATGATTATACACGAGCTTTTTTGATACTTCCCTTCTCTGGCTAAGTAATTTGCACACATAGTCAATATTTTAATAGCAGGATCAGTAACTCTGGCACAAATGCTAAATTTAGCATTGGGCAGACTTTGAGTGGCCAGGAGTTAGCAGCTGTGACCTCTTGAGAGAGACATCTGCAGAAACATTTGTAAGAGATAGTGCCTCCTATCTTCCTGCCCTCCTGATTTCATACACGCTGCTTGGCAGCACGCTCCATCTTCGAGAGACAGCATTTTCCACATGATACTAGTAGCAAAAATCAGCAAAATTGGAGGCTAGTAGCCTCTGCTTCAAGCAGAGGCAAGATGCCACCAATCTGCTGATCAGCACTGTCTTGTTACTTCCAACTGCAGCGTCTCTTGGCTGTCCGTGAGATCTCCCTTGGCCTGCTCTACCTCTAATACAGGAAATAAAGGTACAATCTGCTCACCACTCACACCAGATTGCCAGCCTCTGTTTTTACTGATGTACGGACTTTGTGCATTCAGTACTATCTAAATACCATCATTATCTCTATCTAGCTGTCCTAAATCGAGCTAAATGTACCAATCATATCGACTGCAACGTACAGCGAGATTCAAAAACTCTATGGCAACAAGGCAAATAAACATATTTTTTACCAAGGAAACAGGACACCGTTAGCTGTATTTAGGCAAAACGGAAAAATTAGAGAATTAAACTATTAAAGACTTAAAGTTTAATGACTGCTTGAAAATTATAAGCTAATCGCTGACTGATTATTCTAGACATGCTCAATTTATAGGGCACGCATCTCTTCTGGGCCTCATGGATATCTCAAGACATGGTCACTCTGATTCAGACCATCTTAAGCAAAGAATTTAGAAGCTTTATCTGCATAAAACAGGTCAGCAATATGAAGAAACAGGAAAAATCAGTGTAAAATGTATAAAAACAGGGACTCTTGATTCACAAACTATATACTGCAGTTGTCACTTCTCCATACTATGAATTAATGTTTAGAATGAATACAAACTTTTGGGGGGAGACTGTTATCTTCTTACCTCACTCAGCAAACCTTAGGAGATAACGAACTTTCTTATCTCCTTCACTGCATTGCTTCAACTGATAATTCTACCATTCCTTACTGCAGATAGGAAGATAAGAAAGGGAAGATTTAAGATTCGTTTATTTGCTGAGAATGGCACCATGCGTTGTCTTACACAGTGTGTTCTGCTCAGTGCAACACGGCATAGAGGTAAGTGTTCACATTTCTCAGCTTCACGTAGCCTTTCTGCACTGCACTGAGTGCCACTACTGCTGGAAGCCACAGCTGACTTTTTAGAGAAAGCTATTATCAGTAACTTTCCTCAGAAAGGACTGATTAACTGGAGTTGCAAGAGTAAACGAACAACTAAAATAATATTGGTCAAGTAAACACATTACATATCATAAGCAAGTATTCAGAAATGCTACTACTTACTTCCATAGTGTCTTTTGAAAGATAAACGACCCAGTATACCAGGTTGAATCCTGCAAATGCCACTGGGAAGAGGATCCTAGAATACTGGTCTATTTTACTTGTGCCTCCAATAGGTGGTGGTGGTGGAGGAGCAGGCACTGGTTGACACTGGGATGCACTGTTTGATATTATGCTGGCTTCGGGAGGCTGATCTGCCTGAGATGTTATGGAGTTTATTCGCTTCTTCAGGTTACAATTGGAGTCAGAATGCTGCAGCACAAAAAAGGAGGGGAAAAGAAAAAAGAGGGTGATATTTGGATACAGTTTCTTATGTTTTGTGATCATTAGGCTTCTCTCCACCTTTTTACTCAACTTTCTGATTTTATTGCTGCTTTGCTGCTATAGAGCTACCTAAGGAAATCACAAAAATAATGCAAACGTACAGAGGTGCATTTGTGGTCTAAAGCTTTTCTGTAAAAACTTAAAAGAATATGTGCTTTCCATATTCTTCACATGGTAATAAATGGATCCTACAAAACAAAGAAAAGATGGAGCTAAAAGGAAAAGAAAGGAAGGTAACGGTGTACCCAAACTGGAACATATTGGTATGACTGAAGTTTACATAGATATGAGTGAAATTTAAACAAATTAGCACACATGGGCTGGCTTAAGGGCAGCCTTCACCGTGTGAGCCCATCGGCGAGCTCTGGTAAACGCTCACTGAACGGTGTCTGCTGTCACGCTGTGATTAGTCCCCAGACCAGCTGCTGCTGAACTGGCAAACTGCGGCACAGAAGGAAACGGGCTAACTTCACAGGTGCTGAGGACATGAGTGCTAAGTTGTCCTGTAGTCTTTTCCAGGATGAAATGTCATTTTCAGATATATCTCATGGTTCCCACAGCAGTTTCATGCATACAACTGAAGAAAAATACCCATCCTAACTGTAATGGGACTATTTTTATTTTCATTTATGGTAAAATGAAACCAAAGTATTCCTATATTTTGTGCAATATTCATAGCCAGGTCCAATTACTCTTCAGAAAGCTGTGTGAAAACTCTTAAAAATTTAGCCAGACCTCAGGAATCTTTAGATTTCACCTCTTAGTTGCTAGGCTGACAGGTAGATTCATTATGTACACCTGTTTTATTTGTGGCCAGGCTGCCATTTTTTACTTTCATGAGAGTAGAAGTAACAGATTTCTTTCTTGCAGCAACGGCTTAGGAAAGGGATCTACCACAGGCTCTAAGCCTGCTGTAATGAGTATCAGTTACTCACTTTCACAGTAGTATCAAACGGGAGGAAACTGCCACAAGCCTTGCTGCTACTGTTGCTACCCAGCACTACCACTAGTAACGTGGATGCATGGCAGCAGCCCTGAGATTCATCTGGCGGCTGAGAAAATACAGAAGAATGCTGGAGTGTCAAGTTGGTTTTTACTGTTTTGATATGAAGTACCCAAGTTTTCTGTTAATAGGGAGCAATAGCAATACCCGAGACTCCAACAAGCAATGCTAACATACAACATTTTAGTTGAGCTTGAATCTAAAGCTTCATCAATAAAGGACTGCAAAACTTCCAGATTATTGATGAAAAATATTGTGCAGCAAAACTGCACAATGTACACAGCTATTCTCAGTTTGAAAAGGCAGCTTTTTTGGTCAGCAGAACCAAATGACCGAATGGCTGAAGCTAATGAGGGGAGTCTCAGACAACATAACTTACAACATAACAGCATATGTATCTGTTGTAAACCCAAATAGTAACATTCGAATGGTTTTAAGGTAGCAAAATTCTGTTAGCTATGCAACTTCAAAAGTCATTCCTTGGGATGATTTAGTAACAATCCTTCTCTTCAACGTAGCCCACTGTCAGCATTTTTGGGATTTATCTTGCAGAATTTCTATGCATGGAAACAGATTCTAGTCCATCAGACAAATGAACGGGCTGTTAACAGGAAAAGAAGCATTTTATGAAATACATTGCCTATACTGGTACTTGGGCTACGATTTCTAGATAAGAGACTAGACTAGCACACCTGGTATCTCATGGATGACTTAAACCAGAGCTGTGACAGGAATTATCCTTCTAGCGGTCAGTGTTGCTGCCAGAGTACCAGAACAAATGACATTGCTACAACATGATGCCAAGTTCTGCTCAGGGATGAATGGACTGGTATCCAACTGAACTTAGGGAGAGAAGGATTCCTGGTTTTACTCTAAGTGAAAGGTGGAAAGAACAACATCTTGTTGGTAAAAAAAGGAAAAACCCTGCCTTTTCTGTATATATCTCTTTTACCTATTAACTTTTTGTTCCCCCACATCCCATCAGAACTTCCAACTTGCCATATCCTTCCTTTGCCACCTACACATTACACGATTAGAATCACGTTTTGAATGGGTATTAAATGGCATTCGTACTCTGGGCCTGTGCCTATCTGGAACGCAGATGTTTGGTTTTGTATTTTCCAGTAACACAGCAAGCAACAGACAGATTTAAATGGAGGATGATCTACAGATGTGTCTCAGAAAGAGGGTTACCCATGTCCACTGGTGCTAATCATCATAATAATCCCACTCTGTAACCAGACTGACTGACAGAGCCTGGGTTACTGCTCTCATTAAGGCTGCTATTCCATTTTGCTTGTATGCCCTGCTTTGAGCTGAACAGTGGAAGCTGTAAGGTAGCTTGTTTTTCACTTTACTGCAAGACAGCTTGACCTTTTGTGGAGAATGAGTGGTTCCTAACAATGTGAGTGTTAAGGCGAATCTTAGCCCTTTTTATCTGTAATATTCTGGTATAAGGTGGGTCAAATTCTGCTCTGAATCATTCAAGCATGGACTGGGAGTGATCGTACTGAGGTGATGGAGATCATAGTAGGCAAAGCAGATGTAGCCTATGGTCTGAGGATGATGTTCAGTACTGCACTTATTTAGCATCCTGCGACAGTAAATTCATTGTGATCATCTGAATAGGTGCTTGGAAAAGTGTAATCCTGGTCAGTATTTTATTTGTAATATTTATTAAATCTTACTCCTATAGAAGGAGGATTCTCTCAATGGAATCTTCTCTGGAGATATTCAAACCCTGCCTGGACAAGGTCCTGGGCAGCCTGCTGTAGGCGACCCTGCTTCGGCAGGGGGTTGGACCAGATGACCCACAGAGGTCCCTTCCAACCCTCACCGTGCTGTGATTCTGTGATTTCATCGCAGGTTGGAGACAGGAAGATCTGGAGTCAGTGTGTATCTTCAGAACTTGGGGAGTGCACTAACTGACTTGATTATGCTCCCACTTTGGGGCCAGTTTAGGTCCATTTCTATCAATACCAGCGATATTAATAACCTCTCATTACCTAAAATAGCCTATTCCAATATTCAGGGAGGACCGGTGCATTTTACTGTCTCAGTAAAGCCACAGTTGTTTGCCGTGCTCTTCACCTGCTGAGGAGGTGTCTGGAGTTGCTATAAATCATTAAGAAAGTCCCTGAGTAGCTCTTTACGCTGTCTTTAACACCCTCATGTGCCCATCCAGCAAGTCGGGGTCAAGACTATCTTCTTGTATCCCACTACCCAGAATACGGAATTCTAAGGCCAAATTTCTCTCAGATGTGTAATGAAGATGTTTCTCAGTGTGGCAGCTGACTGTAGCCCAGACTTGCTGCCTCAGAACCACAATCCATATTTTTCACTGGAATTCGCTGCTAAACCAAGAGGAGGAGGTGGCGAAAGGAAACCATAGAGTTTCTTACTACAGTCGAGTTCTGAACAACAGCTACAGTAAGTTGCCTATTATATTTAGATTTAACTTTTCTGTTTAACAGCAATTACCTACAATGACATTACGAAACTTCAGCAAAACACAGAGAGAAAACAGAAAAGAATAGCCTGTTTTGCACAGTTCACACAGGCAATCACTCAAATAGTAAGGACTGTTTACAAGCAGCCAGAGCAACAAGCAGCAGCCTGAGGCATGGCACGCTGTCGGAGTGAGATACGGCAGCTTGTTAAGTGACTGACTGCTGATTCAGAGGAGTACTCTTGCACTCCTGCGGAATGTTAGCCCCGTCAGGCAATTAAATTTGTCACTACATGTGACCACCCGGTGACACAGAACAGCCTGCAAGATCACTGTTTACTGTGCGATACCACCAGACTGGACTAGACGAAGACTGGTGTGTACGTGGGCCAGTCAGGTGCAGTCTGGCTTCTGGTAAGCTTCTGCAGCTCAGCTATCTGATCCCCTAGAAAGCTCACAAAGCTGTCTCGTCTTGTCTATAAAGCTGCTGCGCTCTCACAACTCTCACCAACATCCCCAGAACTTGCTTATGCTCAGAACATCTCAGGAGGCTCTCAGCAAATTGCTTGGCTTCCAGCTTTGAAAAACCAGAGCATATATAACCTTGCAGTAAACAGCATTCTGTCTGCTTCTTCTGGTTTTTATACGGATGCTAACTGTGATTTATGAATGTGCTTTGCTCTTATGTTTCTTCTCCTCAACATATTTCTGTAATTCATATTTGTAAAATTCTCCACTAGCCTCTGTTGCATTGTACTACAAATGCATATTCTCGCTATCAGTTTAGTTTATGACCTAGCAGTAACACGAGTGTCTTACTTATGCACTCAGATACTGGCTAACTTTAATCAAGTTAGCATCTGTGTGTCCTTACTTATCTCTCTTTTACTTGCTTATGTCTCTTTTTCCTGCGGGAAATGCAGTAAAAAGAGGTTCATGAGAATAAACCCTAAAAGTTTAGACTAAAAATGTGTCTTTTCTTTATAATTTATTGGATTAAGGATCTTGAACTTCGCTGATATCACAAAACACTAAAAAGAACGCCAGAAAAAAACAGACCTGGGATCAAAACTAAGTATCTGTACAAGGTAGAATACTACATTAAATATATAACATTCTTTTTCTCTGCCCACCTCATGACTAGATACAGTTTCGGTAATTTCAACCATTCATATTCTACACATAAAAACACACACTCGTGACTTAGCTCCCAAAGAGGGAGTTAAGCATAGTTTAGCCACTACATTCAGCAGCGTGATCTATAACATCTCTGCTTAGCTACTGAACAATCCACACGCAGCACCTTGCAGCAGGAAAGTTCACTGCACCATGCAAGATCTCCTTCTGGGCCCGCGCTAAGGCACCTCAATCTTTACACTCCTGTGCAGTTTAAGTATCCATCTCATGCCAGAGATTCATTATAACCTGTAATTTAGACATATCTCATCTGTGGGATCTCATCCAAAAAATGTGTAT